TGCCTTCCTTTCCCGCATGCCATTGGATTGCAGAGAGACACAGGATTGGCTGAGGCCAGGTGGTCCAATATGTCTGCGCCGTCATCCGACGCCACACCAAACCGCACTACAGTTGCCACCTCTAAGGTTTGTTGCCAACGCTTTTAAGTTGTGGCGTCCTGATGTTAAATGTATATGTTCTCAAAACGTTATGGTTAAACAAATCATGGTGTGTGTGTTGGTGGCTGAATACCACTTGTATGCTTTCTTAGGTCTCACATTAAACAACGGATTTTACCGTCATTTGGACTAGCAGACTGTGGCTTAAACAGTGGCTAGAGGTTTTCGTACATTCATTTTTTTGGCAAACTTTGAATATGGATTGCCGTCTGTGCTTTTTGCAACAGTTGACCTTTAAAGATTGTTGCTCAGAATCTTTCCTAAATAACCTTGTAAAAGCCTGAATGTTTAAAATTCGAATTGGACCCTCTTCGTGTTGATATAGGGTTCACCAACATTCATCAACTGCTTTTAAGCGCAGGTTTGTGACTTTATTTGTGTTTTGTGCTACAATATCCGTTCACACATTTTTAATTGTAGTTTCTAGTCATCCTCAATGCAAGTTGTAATTTTGGCACAACATGATTCGATCTGTCTTCGTCAGTTAACAACTACTGGTGTAATTGGCCAGCTTCCACTTGCGTCTCTGGGTTTGGTTCTGTCAAATCTCGTTCAAATTTTCCACTCCGCTGGTGTCACCAATCCACTTATTCTATGTCGCCCGGGCCAGACATCGCAGCTCGAGAAATGTTTACCCAAATCTACTGGTGCCATCTTCATCGAAATTTCACCGTCCCTTAGTATTCCCGAGTGCCTTTATCGCATACGTGATCGCTTTACAGCCACTGGTTGCTGTCAGTATGTCTTTCTAACCTACGCAGATCTTGTGGTCACTGAATTTGACATTCGTCGTCTTTTCCTCAAGATGGTTCGCACGCGGGCAGCTATTGTTGCCCTAATGGCGCCCTATTCTACTGATCCAAAGTTTGTTAAAGTTGCAAGAGGTGGACACGACTTGATGTTGATAGATACGGAGGACGAGAGTCTGGTTATGTTTACTCCTGTGACCGACTTAAAGAAGCAGGTCCGCGTACCAAAATCTGTCGTGGCCACCCATACCCATCTCGTTTCTCGAGCCGACCTCCATGATGTGGGCTTCTACTTACTTTCTGGATATGCTCTTCGATTACTTGAATATAATAGGTAGGTGCTTATAAAACTGCAACTTTTATACACCACATTCTCTTCAATTCTGGCACCTTAGAGTTTTTTTTATGAAGTTAATATTACGAATACTCTAAATGCCTCTGCAATGGCAGTAGATGACTACCTGCTGACAGTTGTAAACATAAAGTGTCTTCAAATTAAGTAAGTATAGTTCTTCCAAATATAATATAACCCTCATGCTATTAATCTTGGTTTTCAAATAGTCTGTGATTTAGTTGATCAATTTACAGGCAATTGACATCGCAAATACCAGAGTGAATTCACGAAAACATGAATCATCTGGTTATAGTCATTTTATCGCCTAAAAGCCTCAGTTCGCTGTCACAGACTTCTGTTTCGTCAAATGTTTGTCTGTATAAACGCTCAGCCATTTCAGGACACGGTAGTTTGATCAATTCAAACTTCTTGACGAACCTTAATGGAGGTTCTCACGTTCTCATGTAGAATAGGCCGAGCGCCTGGTCGACGTTTGCCCCTTTTCCTTGCCCGCATTGACTAGTTGGGGTTGCTCAAAAGTTAGACTTTGACCAGATGGCACATCGATGGCATCCTCAGAAATCTTTCTTTCTGAGATAGCTGTATGATGATGCCCCTGTCAGATTGTTATACATGTGTTTTAGTTAACAGGGTTCAGTTCATTAGCAGCCAGTGGGAGTTTGGAACACGATTGCAAATGCGTTCGCGTAAGAAACCGAGGTTTATATACTTGACATGCAAAGCGCGTATTCGCGGTAAATATTACAGATGTTATCGATACTGTATCAGTTAGCATAAACGAATGGACGCCATTGGGTGGCAGTCCTCACTTGCAGGGCGTTTCTTCTCGAACATTGGTAGTTTGGATTTCTCCTTGTGGACAATAATTCGTAAGCAATGTTTCGCTGTGGGCGACATGGGAAGTCTAGAGACGCACGTATACATTAGAGGCCTTTAGATTTAAATACGTGGGAGCGGTTTTAATGAATCATCTAAAGACTTAGCATTTAATCATGCTCCACGTACGTTCTTGAGAGCAGCAGTTGCCATTTTACAGACTTCGTCTTAGCTGATCATGATGATTATCAAAAGAAGACACTTAATTTGTTCCTTGGCCTCGGTAACAACGTATCAATCTTTCCACTTGTCGACAATCAGCAATCGTAGTTGTTTTTTGTCACATTTTTAATTGTCCATCGAAAGATCAATAAGGTCTATTATGGGGTAGTTTCGTTTTTACCGCGGTGATTACCAGCATCCCTTGATAACGTATGAACGGTTTGTAAGTCAGATCCTGAAATCTTATCAGTGGTAACCACTCTTTAGCTAAACTATTCTTGCACATTCTGAGTTTTTTCTACACAAGTGAATGACGGAGAATCCCGACTCCGAGCACATTGTTTAGTCGAATCGGTCGTAACTTCACCCTTGTAGCCTATAATCCTTCGTTCGCTTTTCCAATTTTCGTCTTGCAGAGACGAGATCGGTCTTCGGAAAGGCTTTCTCAAGCACATTGTAAATACGGAACAATACAAACCCTACCAATTCGATACTAGCTCGAGTAAGGTTTTTTTCGAGTCATCTATAAACCCCCCTCCTCGTGTGCTTTATCCTCTAAGCTATTTTGTCTCTCTTTCGAAGTCTACATAAGCGACCTGCCCGAGGAGCTTCGTTACAGCCCCGACGACCTACCGAAGTCTGCCAAGGTAGCCATCGTGATTCACCAGGACAAGGCTGTTTGTCGTCGTCTGGATTCGCCCTTAAGCTATCTGGATGCTGTCAAGTTGGTGCGTTTATGGCTTCTTGTAGTTGTTCCCCTGCTGCCCTAATCAAGGATCACTCTTGAACGCATCAAGTCGGTTAATTCGCGTATTTGCGGCGTTTTGCTCGTTTTTGAGTTCAATTGTGGGTTCAATTAGCCACGAAAAAAAAAAAACAACGAGGTGTTGGCAGGGCGTTCAGCTCAATCAGACCTTATAGATATCATCTAGCGAATTCTTGGCAACTGCCTTGAGGATATATGGAGATCAATGGGTAATTTCTGCAAGTCGTGAATCCGATGGAATTTATCACCCCTTGTTATGCACAAAGGTATCAGCGAAAATTACTTGCCTGGTAACCCGGGTGGGGACGAATGTATCTTTACTACTACTAACGCTTATTAGCATCAGGGAGTCATTAAATATTCATAGACAAAGTCCTTGTTGGGCTGGATTTATGCACCTTGAGATGGAAGTCTGTATGTTTTAATCAGCGACCCTCTAAAACGGTGTGTATGTGTGTGTGTGTCTCATTATTTCAACTTAAGAGCCTCCAAACATATCTATTTTTGTTAGAGCTTTCCGAATTACCCGGAATCAGGTGTTTCATGGGTGAGACGAGCACCACGTTAAACGGGACTTCGATTTGCCTAGGTCCATGAAAAGTACCCATCGGAAAAGAACGAAAAGTGTAGCAGCGGTGGTGGTGGTGGCGGCGGCGGTCACAAAACCCCCATTTCTGACACCATCCAGGGCGAGGAGTGCGTCTTCGGCAGTGGGGTCCTCGTGCGGTCGTGCATTCTCGGCGCGCGGTGCAGGGTGGGCGAAAGCGCCCGACTCCTCAGTTCAGTCCTCCTCTCGGGTGTTACCATCGGCGATGGGTAGATCTCACTTTGTTTTTCAATCGGGACTGGCAATTGTTGTTCGTAATTACAATTAGAAATTATTTGCAACATCTATCGGCTCCCAGGTTTAATCTACTTCGATTTCTTTTTAAAAAGACTTAACTAAATCAACAAATAAGTGGTTTCTTTCTAACGGAGGAAATACATTACGATCCAAGTGTCACAACCAGTTATTTTAAATACCTCAAGTCCATTAATTTACCTCGATTACTTATTTTAAAGATGATAATTAACTTAATGTTGGTATGTGTATAGTGTAGTTGCTATATTAGGTTATTAGAATCCTAAGAGCAAGATATATGCGTTACTGTTTCATAGCAGTGCCCTATCACTGTATAATTCTTTATAGATGTAAAATTACGAACTGCGTGATTGGTGAAGGCGTGACCATCGATGATAATTGCACCTTGAAGGACTGCACCGTGGCCGCACGCCAGCACGTCCCCGCCAAGTCGCTGATGCATTCCGAAAACCTAGGCTTCTCTGAAATAGACTTCGATGAGTTAAGTGTATGAATGGAGCAGTGCAAATCTTGAAGTCTTTGTACAAGCACTCAACGTGAACCCCCTATTCACTTCATCTTTTTTGCATATACAATCCTACCAAAGTGGGGCCTTCTTTGCTGTTTCGATTTCTCATATGTCCTAGTGGGGGAACAAAGCAGGATATTAGAAAGATGTTACTAAAAATCAATTGAATTTATGTGAGTTCCACAAATCATATTTTCCCTAATTTGAGTAAGTAGTAATTAAAGCCTCCTGGCGTCTGTCGAGTCATGAAATTTATCTATCCGTGTTGTTTAGCTTTAAAATGCAAATCACTTGTCAGCGACAAATATTAGAAAGACATTCTCAGATGGTATTTCAAATTTTATGTATTTGTGGTTTTCAAGTCACTGTGACATATTTCATTTAGCACTCTCCTTTTTTGCCAAGACATTGGGTCATAGTGTGTGTGTGCGTGCGTGTGTGTGTGTGAGTTGTATTAAAGCCTATTTTTAACTTCTAATTCGGACCTGGATATTCAAATTGCGTTGGGGACAGTTCCTATCATAATGCGACAAGTTACTGGGGCTGGAAGTCCACCAATGACGGACCTGAGTCAAATAAATCGATATTGGTATAATCGGGTTTAGTAGACCTCACATATTTTTCTCGTGTAATAAATGCTGGTGGAATATAAAGCCCGCTTTATGCCTCTGCCGGTGAATGGTCACTCTTCGCCATTAACTACTTTTTTACATTTCTACTGTTGCAGCGTGGATTATAGTAGCTCTATTAAAAAATTAAATAAAAATTTTAGGAGTAACCCAATCTTAGGATGAAAGAGAGCAAAATGTTCTAAATCAAACACAAAGCTTAAATAGGATTGGTACAATCTGTATACAAATCAGTCGAAAACGCCTATATTACCTTGCAACAGATTGACCAGGACAATTTCTGCACCCAGGTATTAGAATAACACTAATATTTTCCTCGGGGCAAATTCCTAAGGTTTCATGGATAAATTTATGTGAGAGAAAATCCGATTTAAATGTAAAAAAATCTGAAACGCTTGATTAAGCGACTAAAAAGTTTCAAATAAAAGTCCTGTGGTTGTAGGCAAATGCATAATTTTTTTAAGTCGAAGGTGCAATACAGTGCCATTAATAACAGCATAATTATGTAACTTAACGGCGTTTCAAACATGCTTGGCTTTTGAAATGACAGTATTTCTAAATTATATTGAAAATAGGCGTTTCTTTTGAATGAATTAAGTATTATATATTGTTTAATGAAGCTAGGTATAGTGGTTAATTTTGCATTGTTGATTATACGGAAAAAAAAGAACATAAGTCACCTAAGTGTCATCAATCTTACAAAAGTTCTAACTGCATGGTAAAAGGATTCAAAAGTTTGGCACAATCGGTTTGTTCCATAACCCTGTTTTTAAATTCAACTTTTACGATCTACTTAAAAAGGATGGTGTGTCAATTTTAATTAACATACTAACAGTATTTGATGGCTAGTTTACGCAGGTTTAAGCGTTAATATACATGATATTGGCACAGCTGCAGAGTTCAGTCAATTTTTTGTATTATACTCTGTTGTCAAGACCAAAATTTGAATTAAGGCTATTTTAAAAGGGTGCGTAGCACCGCGCTTCTTTTGATTTCTTCGAAATGTCGAGGCGGCGTTCTCGAGGGGCCTATTATGAACATGACGGTATTTCGTTAGACGCAGTATATTCGAGCTTTTAGATAACTCAATAACGAAACGTGGTCGCCTTGATCGGGATACTATTGAATCCCTTTTATATAGGATTGGATTGAAGGTTCTTAATCTCAAACGATTTACCCACTTAGGACACTGAAAAAATCCATAAGGACATTAGTGAATTGTGTATACTTTTTTGTGCTGAATTGGAAAAGAATCCAGAGTATTACGTGAATGTGTTCGTGTCCTGGTAATATATTGAAATTCTTGACCCACTTTAGCGCCAAGAATATCCCTGAACGTATGCCTATTTATACAACTTTGTTGGGCCTTGTTAACTTAAAAAATCGTGAATTTGCCTCACGCGTCATTGAAGTTATTATTAGGGAGCTAAAAGATGCACTTAGAACAAGTAACTTCGATGATGTCAAATATTTGGTTAGTTAATTTGTAAATCTAATTATTCCTAGGTGCGCTTTCTCTCCAATGCAGTTAACAGTAATGTCGTTCATCCGGCAAGTTTACTCTCGTTGTACGAGAATTTCGCCGAAGTAACCCTCGATGTTTGCGCCAGTTCGCAATCTCGAACGGACTGGTACTCTTACGTCGTCCTTTACGCTCTGCCATATGTAAATTTCGTGTCAACTATAAATATGTTGTAGAGTGCAAAGCGTCTAAATGATCACAATGCAGCAGCTCTAAATGCCATCCTGAGCACCATCAATGTATACTTGTCGTAAGTTTCTTGGGTTATACCTTTCCATCATTATCTACAAATACTAAGTTTTTTGTAGATGTTTGCTGTGTGACACGGTTTAACCCTTATTTTAATGTAATATAATTACAATTTCATACTTCCGAAACTCTTACGGTTAGTTTCAGGATTCTACTTCCTTTTATATCATAGAATTACACAAGTAGAATTTGTCACTTTATACTGTTAGGCCCGCTGAGAATAATGGAACAAAATGAAGTGGAGTCATCTATTCCCTCTTAGATTTGTTTTTATTTGGGAATCAGCATTGCTATTATTTGATCAATCAATTTTTTTATTTCGGTAAATTGACTTCAGCGTGTCACTTTTAGGAAACGTCAAACGCTTCATGTTCCCATTCTTCGTGTCTGGGATAACTCTGACCCACATCCTCAAGAGGACGTAAGTTCATTTTTCTGTTTGAAACGTCAACGCTTAAACCTCGAATCATGTTCATGATTTAACACTTACAGTTTTTCCCATTCTTGCCTGTATGCGTTTCAGTACCTGACTTGTTTGTGGTCGCAAATAACTTCAATGAAGAATGCCAATTGGAAGGAACACGTCCTTTGGCGGATATACGACGCGTTCCCTGCGCTTCGGGAATCCGGACAGCCCTGCGAATTCGGTCAGGTAACACCGTGTTTTATCGTTAATAAGGAAGCGCCCACTTACATAAACATTCAAATTAGTAGAACGTGTGTCCAATTTATTGAATAGTCGTGAAAAGTCACAATACTCACACTTTGACAACACGTTTCTCAATCTAAACAGCCGGTGTTACACTGAGCATGTGCTATTTAACCTATCGTTCTTCCACAATGCGGTTTCTAAATAAATGAAATCCTTGACTAAACCGTTTTTTCAAGCTCAGATCACCTAATAACGCTAATAGTTATTGCGATTCGTGCCATAAATTGACCACAGTGTGTTCGTTTTTTCCTGTGTTGTGAAACACAGCTCATAGTCTGGAAATTATGAAACTTGAGCCGTTTATTATTCACGAAATCAGTTTTTTCTCCGATTCCAGTGCTAATTTTACTTTTAATTCTTTTCGATAAATTACACTGATTTCACTTTTTTAGCAATCTTTTGACTGCCCATCAAACTTTCTTTACATTTCACCCATCACTTTATTCAAAATCTTTAGGTGCAAAATTTAATACAATGACTTCTAAGTGAACTGAATTTTCTCAATTTTTTACCCCAGATTACTCCTCCTGACTACGACTCAGAAATCGTATACCCTTTGCCGCAAGTAGTGTTCCGCATGTTTGATTATACCGATATTTACAATGCGGACGAGGACGACGAATCTGGTGTGCTTGATCCACAGAAGAACACCAAAGGCACTTCGTCTTCTGCCTCCCCAACTCTTCCAGGTGCCCACACCATTGAAAGGTTCCTAGTGGATGAACAAATTCACATAATCTTGGAAACAATGCATTTCAACCGTGCTATGTGGTAAGTTTTTTTGTCATGTGATTTCCCACCCCTAGGTGAGATGGATGTGATTGGTGTGCATTTTAGCGGACCACATGTAAATTCTGCGGGGTGCCTCGGACACGTAGCAAACACTACTTGAGTTTGCCTATGTCAGACCTCACCGAGCAATTTCCACTTGATAGAAATGTAAAACATTAGTTACTGGGGTCTTCGTCGATTCTTTCACCCCTTTTTCTGCTGACAGTGTTTTGCTCTCACTCCTGCCACTTTGTGCTTTGCGTCATTTTCACTGATTTGGTATTTCGACCAAAGTAGTTTTCGATAAGGATCCTGTAAAGTGTCGAAGCCTTAAAATCGTTTTCTAGTAGGTTCCGTCCTCACTTAAACGGAGTCATTGAATCCAGATGGTAATTGAACTAACGAATTTATACTTTATTGCGATACTAGATTGCCTCCGTTTTGTATATTGATCTAGTTTTAATTCCGTCCAGGGTGATCTTTCTGTCGGTTAGCTGACTCATTGCTAATAACGCTTATCAGTTTGAAGAAACACAACTCCTTTTGTAACTCGCCTTATTTATTCGTACGTCTTTAGTGCCCTAGCCCTGCTGAATTTGCAGACACGTGCCAAAGTGGCACTTGACTACATGATTGTGGAAGCCATATTTTCGGACATATTCCGCCTCCCTAAGCCACCCGTTCGTCATGGCAACCTCCTCTTCTACGCCTCACTCCTCATCCAACTTTGCAACGACGCCGTCAACACGATGCCTCTGGTGCTCGCACAGGCCACCGAAACCCTATTTGAGCGCCTCGATACGATGAAACCAGTGTGTATTGCGAGGTAAGTGATGCTTATTGCCCTCGTGTGTGTGTGTGCGTGTGCGTGTGTGTGTGTGTCTGTATTCTTGCCTCCTTCCGCCGTGAAGGCGCTGGTCTTGTGAGATGTGTCCATCTTCAAATTACTAAATACCTGGCCGTATCTGACCATAAATTACTCCCAGTAGGTAACATGAAATTGTACAATCGCTAGGGGCTTTTCAATGAGGCTGATTGTGATCTCAAATTCCAATTACGTGATAAGACAATGGATGAGGACCTTGAATGCAACATTGCCTCAACATATAACCTCAATTGTTCACCATCAACACCGGGTTTTGAGTCATTTATGCTTCAACATTAAAATCTTATCATTTCCAGCCAATAATCCCTATATCATTCGGTCTTGTAACCAGTTTGAGTTATTGCTATAGTGCTACCAAAGCAATCTAAGTTGGATGTGTGTTAAGCTTGGTTCCCAAGGGGTGGTATAACGATGCGACTTTCTCAAGTCTTGTTCGCCTAGATTCGTAGAGTGGTTTTCGTTCCATCTGACCAACTACCAGCTGAAGTGGAGTTGGCGCGACTGGTCCCGTGCGCTGGAGGAACCCGTGATGTCGCCACGCCGGTGGTTCATTTCCGAGACCCTGCGCCGCCTTGTACGCTACTCCTATTACGAGAACGTGAAGCAACACCTGCCGCGTTCGTTCTATTGCCTTCTGCCACCGCAGCCGGCTCCCATCAACCCCTACGAAAACGCGTGTAATGACCCTGTCAATGTAACCGGTTTTTGTCAATTTCAATCATTCCACGCAACTGTTATGTTCACTGTGGATTGATGGAGTGCTTTGGTTTGTAAGTAAAAATCATGTAGAGGAACCCATAAGTTTGTTTTCAGGCTACAAGCACCACCTCATTTGCGCAAACCGTTTTGATCTTTTTCTAACTGCACTTTAGCGTTTTTACACGACGTATTGCTGTATAAATTGTATTTTACTGTCATTTTGGTGAGGTTGAACGTTCTACACGCGAAGAACTTTCAGCAGAGTGCTGTGCTCTCACATATTCGGTATCTACGGCTTCGTGTATCGTTTAAATTCCAATTTAATTGTGATAGTTGTATTCGGACTTGCATGTAACAATGAATTCCTCTTATGTGTTCGGGTCGTCTTCAAGTGTGACATTCCCCTCCTGTAGTGTTGTAAATTTCTTTCTCCTATTTTCAGCTCCGGCCCAGCGTCGCGTTTTTACTCGTGTCCTAGACGCCTTCCACGAGCGTCACAGCCCCGACGGCCTGCTTGACATCATCCGTCGCCTCGCCTCTCAAACGGGCGACGTTTTTAATGACTCTGACGATGATAATCACCGTTCACGCAGTAACAGTCGCTCAGGAAGCCACTCGGACACCGACAACGACCCCATGGAGGGTAAAACGGCTGAGCGATCTCGTGTGGCTGGTCGCCACCGACACCGGCGTGGTGACGAGAAACGGTCCCGTTCCCACTCCTCCTCCTCCTCCTCGTTTTCAAGGGAAATGGCAAAAGAAGAAAACAACAATGAGAAGGGTGGAGAAGGTGGCTTGACAAAAGGTTCAACTTCTGAACGGAACGTCTCACCTCCACGGATGAATGAAGAGGCAACAAAAAGGGGGGACGCAAATGGAGACTGTTTGGTTCCTGGTGTCACGAGTCGCGAGTTGGAGCTCTTCATGACTGCCCTGCTCTATCGAGCCCACAAAACCATCAGCCACACATGCTCGTTGCTTAACCGGTAAGAATTTATGGTTGTGATTTATTTGTCTGGTTATCCTTAAAGAAACACACTTTTGCCATGAGCTTTTCGTTGCATTCAAATATGCTTAGGAGTCTTTTTGAACCCTGACGTTGCATACAGGCGTTAGTCCTGGATCCTGCGGTATTTTGGCTCCATGTCGTGTGGGGAGCTTAGCTTGCGTGTGGTATAATCCGTACGTTTCTTGCTTCTTGCTTTTGGATGACTTGGGTTTGACCAGACTTCTAGTTCACATTAGTGAATATTTTCTACCTTAGTCTTTGTCAATATACGAAGATTTGTGTTGTGGCGTAGATGGGACGTGCATCTCAAGGTTGTCCGTCGTCGGCTCAACATAAGGTCCTGCTGCAGGGGGATTTTATTGAGAGTATCTCCACTATATGGGTTTCAGCGCCAGAGACGAATTATCTTGCATGGTAATTTGTATATGAGTTCATTCTGTGCCGATTATTTGAAAGTCGGATCCCATTTTCAACTTAGTGTATGCGACTCCACATTTAGTGTACTAGCCTCCACATTTTAAAGTAGGTTATCTGGAAAGTAAAAGCCAATCTATCTCTGGTCTGTTCATTATCGCTATTTTATTAGGTACTCGGAAACGTTCAAGATCCTCGCATCGACGGTGGAGCTGCAAGTGGAAGCCCTGCACATCCTACAGGCAGTTTGGTGCAATCAGTCGCAGATGGTAGTGGCTATTTCTGATTACATGTCGCGCTTAGGCATGCTCGATCCGGAGTCGATTGTTGGCTGGGCCTTCTCGCCCTACATGTCCGCCTTCTGCGGCAACCTCGCCCCCTCCAACAACGTCTACATCCGTCCAAGGATGCTCGAGTAAGCAGCACGGCTTTCCAGTTAGCTTATGTACACTTACTGTCACGAAACAAATGGCAACCCCGAAATGGGTGTCTTTCACCACCTATCAGGAAAGCCCAATTGTCGCCTTCAAGGCATTTCTATTTCCTGTTTAGATTGCATGTGTGGGAATGCCTGATGCGCACTCTGGTTCGCGTCGGTCAACGCATTGCTCAAATCACGCCCAAACTGGAAGCTGCCAAGGATCGTTTGGGTGCACGGCGCCGCAAGGTATGACTGCTTGTTCTGGTCTCACCTTTAGTTGCTCCTCGGTTGGCCACTTCTTTTTGTCGCCTTTAGAAAAGGCGATGCCAAAACTCTACTTAGGTTTTCTAAATCAGGTACAGATCCCCAATCTGGTATCAAAAGTAGGTTCAAAGTCTAAATAGTTGTGCAATATCTCACTGTAGTGTTTGTTCCGGATGCCCTGCAGTCAGCAACGCTGGTGCCATTTACACCCCATATATTCCTTTTGCTAACGCATAAATCCACAAATGTTCACTTGTGCCAGTGTTGCTTCAATTTAACCCTTTTCGTCGCTGTAGTCTGCAAGTGATTCGCGGTCCAGTGAGAGCTGTAGTGACTCGGAAAACGACGACGGCGACCTGCGCAACAAGATTCGTCGCGGGCGCCGTCACCAGCGCAACCGCCGTCGAAGTCGCAGCCGCAGTGGCGGCGGTGGCCACTCGAGCGACTCGAGCGGTCGTTACCGCCGCGGCGCCTCGCCCGGCAAGGTTGCGCGCTTGGAGGAGGAGCGGGGCGAGGCGGTGCGCTCGCAGTGCGCCGTCATCACCCTCCTGCTCCACCGCCACGTCCGACTCATTGCCCTCGTCGAGGAGGCGCTAGAGAGGGGATGCGAAAACGACACCAACGTCGACTTCAACTTCATGGGATACTGGCTAAAAGGCCGACTTATACAAACCGTTTTGGAGGTATGCCTCGTTTGCCCGTATAAGATGTAGTGTTGACTGCGCTGCTTCTCGCATTTGCCGTCTTACTCACAAAATGTCGCATTTCGTGAATAAAAGTACGTGCGATGCCTCCAACAATCTTGATCACAGCTCGGCAGTTACCTATCTCCACGCCACTACCAAGTGTAATCTAAATCAGTTTTCTCCATTAGTTCGTCTTACCATATAACACCACAGATTATATTTGAGCTAGTAATCCAAGCAAGTTCTACGCGTCAGTTATATTTACATGCCTCTTTTTTTTCACTTTACAGCACCAGGATCAGCTGTTTCCATACATGGATAACCTGGAGGAGCTGATGTCCGATGTAACGCCGTTCGTGCGCAACGTTTTTCAGGCGCTGCGCAGTCTCTATGCATAGCTGTCGACGGCTGGACAATCTCCCTCCACTATCCACAACTCTACATCTTTTTTTGTATTCCAGCACACAATTACGCTAAATATCACGTTTGTAGATTTGTCTGTTGGCATTTGGTGGGAGTGAAACTGTGGTGATTTATGAACCCTCATGATGCGCTCTAAAAACTGGGACGAAAATAATCGTCATTCTTTCACGTTGCCTCGCAAATCGATAATAAGCTTTCGACAGATTCACCGATTTGTGACACTGGGCTACACTTGTTTCATGCAAATCTAATGCTGGATTTCCTTATGTTCTCTGGGTGTGCACAGCTAAATTGGTTTTATTGTACCTTGACGAAATCACCAGTGGGATTTCGCATTGCAATTCCTAAATTTCCCGCTCGTGAGCCAGCCACTTCCTTAAAAACGGTCCTTCGCCCACTCAACGCGAGGAAATGGTATACGCCTGGATGGCCTATTTCGGAACACTGGATTGGCCGCCAACATGGAAGTTGTTCACTGCTGACACCGACTCAGCTCGCTTCTAATCTAATCTCTGATGATATTAATAATGATTTACATGGCGCTTCCCGTGATGTTGGGACTTGGAAATATTCTCACTAAAAACATCCAATTTGGTATATTTAGCACGTGAGGATGGGTAAAGGTGTGCCGACGGTCAACGCCGTCCAGTTGCATGCAACTTCCACCTGCATAAATTGGTCCACGCTTGATTGAAAACGTGGCTCCTCAAGACTACGTCGGCTGCGAAGTCCAAGCAGGCGGTTTAGAGAGTCCAACCGACCACTGTTCAAATGCGCCCACGAGACCGTAGCCATGCTGTCAAGGGCAGGACTGAAGTGGCTATAGCGAAGAGCAACAAGGCAATCCGTTTGCCAGACCATTCCACGTTCCTTTATGGCGGCTGCCTAGACGCTCTATGCGCGACTAACGAGCACCATTGTGCAATGAACCCTAAAGCTGGAATTCATATACGATTCGGATGAAACGCCTAATAACTAGATCAGGACAAATTAGCCCAATTTGTTATTGAGGCCTTGATGTGCTAAAAATATATATTCTTTCATTAAAAATCAAAAAACTTGAATACATTTAGAATTGATAAAAAATTTTCAAATTTGACACGTTCAGGACGATGATTGTCCTTCAGATGGCAATATCGAGGATATCAGTATCGGTATTTCCTAATAACAGAAAGCCTGTCGAAGCATCGAAGCGCCCAAGAGCCGATTTTCTGTCCAGTCGAGCAGGGCTCCATACTTGGTGACGGCACTCCCGCTGTAGACAGGATCCACACGCATCAACTGCCTTCCAGTGCCTTCTGTAAAGCCCAACTTCATCCACACTGAACGTCGCGACCTTGGCGTCGATCTCCACTCGCCAGAGACCCCGGGGAGCGTCCTGCGAGCAGACACGAAGGTCAAAGTCGACAAACGACGCTCGAAAACCGGGCAGACCGGGGTAAGGCACGCTGTTCGCCGAACCACGCGAGACATTGAGGCTGCATGAGGGGGCAGCCGAACCGGGAGCAAAGAGGCGTGCGGTCAGGGGCACAGCCTGCTCGCTGTTGCGCCAAATGACCACCAGAGTCAAGCGGTCCATCGCGGACATGAAGCGGTAGTAGTCACGGAAGACTAATTCCTTGACATCAAAACCAGAACTGACCTGTCAAAGTCAAACGAAGTTTCGGGGAAGTTTACTTAAGCAGGTAGCAGTTACCAAGTTACTCTTATACAAAGCCCTGTTATTTGACTTGGCAAGACTACAACTATATGTTAGACAGGGTTATAGTTGTGGGGACGGTGAGAACAGTAAGTGTGTCTATCAATCAATCCAAAAATTAGATTTAGAATAGTTAAAGGAACGGCACTCCACGAAGGTGCCCATGTGCATGACCTTAAACTATTCAAATGGTAAAGAACGATAGACAAGGCTTGAGTTCAATCAGAAATGAAAGCAACCGAACTGGTATCTAGTTTCAACCGCATTTTAGAGTGGTTAATCCGTGGGTTGGAAGCTGAAAGTTAGTCAAGACTCAGTTCCATGGGGTGTCTAAGAGGAAAACATTGCTCTTGCGTAGACAAACAACAAATCGAAAACACCTGAGGGGGAACCATAGAGAGAAGCGAGTTAGAAAACGCCCTGTGCACGGAGGGTGTCTGAGTAATTGCCGATAACACAACCTAATAACGCTACTAGCAGCCTGTCAGTATCAATAAATGTTTGAGATACCTCAAAGTAGAGAAGCTCAGATGGCCTCAAAGATAGTGGTGACCGAGGCGACATCCAAGCTTGGGCGGCATCACGATGGAATAGAACCTCAAGGGCTGGAAGACGAAGCACCAAATCTGGAGTTGCCAGTAGACGCAAGGGAAGCAACGAATTCAGCAGTTTGCTTGGCAGGAAACCACTACGATCGAGCTGAGCACCGAGTCGAGTGTAGTTTGAGATGCCAATTAACTTAGTTGTGTTGAAGAATGCGAAAACGTCCACTTCCCTCAGATTTTCCTCCTCAGAAAAAGCTAAAAGAGCCGCGACAATGAACAATAATCGCGACGCTGCAAAAAAGTTCTGATGACTTCAGTAATGCGCTCAGATGAGAAATCGGACAATCGTCGATAAAAATTTTACCACCAACAGGCTGTGGCACTGTTCACTTTGCGCCACGGTGGTATGACCTCGCGTTGTGGATTCCTCAGTGCCATATTTCCCACGCAGTGGTTATTTGGTTGCTGTGGCATTCATAAAATGGACTAACCACATCCACGTCCACCGAAGCAATTTTAGTAAGTAAAGATGAAAAAGCCTTCACGACAGCTACGAGCGGTCGCGAGTTGACACCCGCACGGGACAGTTTATTCCCTGGAAGCCGTTGCCAAACTGGGTGGATGACAAGGTGACGCGAACAACCACCTGTATTCGAGTTAATCACACGCCAAGTTGCCTGCCGATTCATTGTATTTCATTTTATTGGCCATACAATTAGCAATCCGGCATTCACTCAAATTTTAACAATACAATAGGGCAAAAGAAACACCTGCTCACTCACAATAATTCAATTGGCACGGAGTTGCTGAAGTAGTCGCAAATTGAAGTGTTTCCGAGAGCAGCACTTTTATTGCAGTGCGCGCGTTGTGTGAAATCTGTCCTGTATCATATCTCGATGCGAAGATCGACTCGAGGTATGTGTCGGAGCTTTCGTCATCTTAATAGGAAGAAGGAGAAAAGCTGAGGTCAAGGTGAATAGGAGAGAGAGCACGCGAAAAGAGGCTATAAGGAAGCACACCGGGAAACTCCCTTCCCAACAAGCGGCGCTCAACGTAATTGACCATCGCGACGTCAATCGTCGAGTCGAATTTCCGCGCGAAACCCGACTGATTGCCCATTTCACTCAGGCGACCCAGTCCCTGGGGTCCAGAGAATACGGAGGGCGAACAGCCGCACCAGTCTGCCACGCTGTTCTTCTTACAGCTGCATCCCCGTGGACGTTGCCAGTTTGTTAATCGCAGATTGGTGTTGACGACACTGTCGCAGAAGTGCGAGTTGTGTGCAAGGGTGTGAAAGAAACTCTCAACCGGAAGGATGGCATTCTGGAACCACTTGCGCAGCCCACTGACGAGATCGTCGCTGCCGCGCACGCTGTAGTAGCAGAAATTGCGCGGCAGAATAAGCCAATCGGAGCCGCCGTGGATGACTACGCCGTCGAGCGGCGGACGCAGACCGACCCGCCACACGTAGTCCCGGCACTGCACGAACGCGTACTGAAGCCCCTCGGAGTGGATGTACTTGAAGGTCTCTTCGCCCGTCTGCTTTGCGAATATGCGTCCACGGTGGTTGTTGAGGATGCGAACAAGAGTCCCAACTGGCCTAAAGCAACGAGGAGGGCTAATTGTGAAAACAAACCACTGGAGGCGGGTTGGTCACCCAAGCGTGCACACACACACACACACAGCTCAAAGTGCGTACATGCGAATGGAAACAAATGACCTCAGTGTGAGTAATTACGAAGGTAGGGTGCACCAATGGAAAGAAGGCATTCAGGTTCGTAGCAATGGTTAACACTTGGAGTGGGCTAGTTTGTCCAAAGCAAGCCAATGCAGCTGCTGCAGCACAATCTGCAGTTAAGTTAATCGATTTAACAAGAAGGACTTGAACCATCATTGCGATCTAAATTGTCGTTAGATGGTTGTGAACCCTATGTGTTGAAACAAAATGAAGTTTTTAATGATATGAACTGTGCACAGGTGAAAGATGAGTCCGCGAGCATAGCCACAAATTGCAAGCAAATCACCGCTGCAGTCAGCCACTTATACCAATCACTAAGACCTGGTACGACAACTTCGACTCAGTCATCTACGTGCACAGCACGTTTCACCTTGTTAGGAGTCTGAATGTTTGATGTTTATCCTTAAAATAATACCCAGCAAATTCTGTACCCTCGATCCAAGCTACTGCATTTGGTGTCCAGTGAGCCTGTTGTCACAGAAATGCCATAGATAGCGACAATCTCATCGGAGGAAACGCATTAACCCATACACATGTCCAAGTAATTTTGTGGCGGATGTAAATTAAACAATTAAGCCACAGACCTGACCTCGCCTGGAAATTCGAAATTCAGGTAAACCACTATGTGTAAAAGCACGGTCATCATGAAAACCTGGTTATCAAAACGGCTTTTTAAAAAAATGCGACTACGAGAGAAAAAATTTACCCGGGGACAGGGCAGTGGACTGCGGCGGAGGAATTCGCGCTGGGAAATTGTTTACCTATGACTTTTAGAAGCGTCTAACAAGTAAGAGTGACGCAACAAGAGTATTTTTGTCTGATTGAACCAAATTTTTCTGCTTATGAAACATTGACTCGTATTCGTTTATCAGAAAAATTTAGTCAATTAAAAACATTTATTTCCAGCATGTGGCTTAATGTTGAAAAAAAGCTGTCTTCCAAATTACCACTGGGCGTGGAGCATGCAGTTCGTCCCGTTTATCATACCAAAGGGATGTTAGTTTAGGCATGGTGCAAAAGTGGCCAAATGTGTACACACACCGGCGGTTTTGGTGAGGCTGTTACAATACTTACACCACCGGCAGATCTGTTTCACTGAGGTTGATGAAGAAGTCCCACTTCCAGTGTGAGAACTTATCGAAGAGATCGTCCATAATGGAGAGCAGGACATCCAGCAAGCTGGGTGCACCCCAAACTGGGTTCTGTCGATTCGGAGTCACGTAGACATTGTCCGGGAATAGACTGGCCAGAGTGCGGCACTTCGAGTAGAGGTACTCACTCTTCTGCAATAAGAAATGGAACATCGTGCCCGTGGATTATTGATTTCGGCCAATTAATGGCCCAACAGTACAGCAGGTCTCGGATTGGAGAATCCCGTGATTGGACCCCTTGACGAGTCGACCGTCTCGCTGGCAAAGCTCTACGAGAAATTCTACTTTAACGCTGAGGAAGGAAATCGGAGAGCTTATTTAGCACTCTGAACTTGACAAACCATGTTGGCATATTCGACGACAGTGTGCAAAGCAAGCTTGAAGTCCGCCCCTCAAAACGTAAAAGTTTTACACTATCAGACCGCACTAGGGCATTCGCCTACACAGATGACATCCGCCACGTTCCAAAAAGCACGAATCATCGCAAACAAAGCAACAAGCTACGAAGAGGGCTTTCCCATGTAATCAAAGTCGGGTCTTGGCCCAGTGCTTATCGAGTGCACCAGACGACATTCGTAGGCCTGATTTCCACAGGCCTTCTGCAATGTTAGCGTTAATTTTCATCCACAGCCAAAGTGCCATCTGTGATGTGTCATCGTCCACTGTGGTAATGCATGCCTGCGGTTAAACCCTTTTAAACAGAATGTACATAAAACGCTAGTCTAAAAAGCTAGTGTCGCTATGCGGGTGACAACGGCACCTCAGATCAGATAATCTGGGATGATGATCACCATGAGAGCCAGAAATGGCGTTACGAGGTAGCGGACAAAGAATAGCTCTGGGAAATCAGAAAATTGAAACAGACCCGCTAATACTGCAAACAGAAAATAGCACAAAACTTAAGGCCGAAATCAGTTGTAATTATGCACCACAGTGAACAACAGTCAACGGGTATGCATACATTAGATCTCCAACCACAACCAGAATTAGTGAGAGGGCGGCAGACTTGAGGATTGATGAAATAAACCGGTGACTATCACAGGACTCCTGATATACAAACATTGCTATTGGAGAGCTCACCAAGTCAACGTGTATGTAAAAGTAGTTTGAGGTGTGGTAGAGAAGACGAAACATCCTTTGAACTTGTCTCCAACTGCGACCTGTGAGTATCAGCACATAGACGATTCTCACGTTCTCGAACTCCTCGTTTGAGAGGGCGGCAAAGTGTTCCAGTGGTGTTATGAGCGGAGCTTCCTCTGAAGAATTCGAAGATGAACTTTAGTTTTGGATGTATTACCTCGCATGAATCATTTGGCATGTTAGCTTTGGTTGTTACAACACCGCGATATACAACCACATTACGTTTGTCCGGGTGATAAATGTCCGTGTACCATACAGTTCGCATGGGGCAAGAATAAATAAATAAACGATTTTCTTTAAAAAGCTATGTGGCTTTTGGTTTGCCTGATATCGGCAACGCAAATGTAAACTTCAAAAAACAACAAACCGCCAAATAGCAATAGAAAAGCTGCACTGTTACGAAGTCCACGTACCAAAATGAGAACTTACCCAGCGTTTGGTGGGGTACCTCAACCGCGCCTGTAGCAAACACGTCAATGGCAACATCACCCCCACACGTTTCCGAGGCGTCTCCTGGGCACTGATACACCCCACATCGTGTTGATGGAAGTGCAAATGCGGGCATCGCTCTGTCACAGTAGCACAATGAGCCCTCTGCGAGACCCGCAAATGCCAGACCTGCCCAACGACAGGTGCGAACGCAAAAATCAGGTGAATTGCGCCGAGTCTCGTTATAGAAAACCAGTCTGAGGAGGGGTGCTGTGCGCTGGTAGTAGAAACAACCCACATGGCGATTTCCTTCGTTTATTGTGGCTAAAGCAATGCAAATGTTAGTTGGCAGATCATGTCGTCAAAACCGCTTGACGATATGCAGACGTAATTGTCAAGCCAGAATATCACATCCTGCGAACTCATTTTGACTTATGAGGCTCCCACAAAAAGCCGTTATCAACCCAACAAGTAAAATATTTAGAAAACGATATCGCAGGGACGAGAAAGGAAGACACCTTGAGGCCACATTTATAAAGCCCCACCATTTAATGAGAAGTTCAATATGAGTGAGCTCCTTTTAGCACGATTGAATGATTCCTTCACCAATCTAGAATGTGACTATTCTTCAGGGTTATCTTTGTTACAAAAGCTTGAGATAGTAGTAACCAAAAAGGCCTCAATTAAACCCATCAAAAACTTTAACATTCTTGCTTTAATTGCAAAACTGCACTCCCAGGGAAATACTGAATCAAAACAGTAGCACAACGCGAGGCTACTAACCCTGTTTTGGGCATCGGTTCGGCAAGCGCAGGGGCTCAACAAATGCCTTTTCCTTCGAAAGTTTTGATATGACATCATTGCATTGGCCAAATGTACCATTAAGTCCATTTGTGTAAGATACTTCTCCGAAGGAAGTTGAATTTCTCAGAGTTTCCGTTGAATAGAACTATAATGGGCACCCTTTGGCCTTACAAAAATATTAACTTACTAGAAGCGCATAGAAAACAGAGAGCGTAAAAAGTACTAGACAAATCGATTTCTTTGTACATAAAAGCTGACGATAAATGTGACTAACCACCATTGTGATTAGTCCTTTAATATTAAAACCAAACTGACACGACTAGCCCAGCATACAAAAGTAGGCAATTCCTGCACCTACAACAGAACAAAAAGTAGAGGATGGTTCTGAAAGAGATTGATGCAAACAATAAATGAACAGTGAAAACACCAAATAAGGGTAATATGATAAAGTAGCATACTATTATTATTGGGTAATAGACTGGGGGCACAACAATATGTAACGGAGAAATTCACGACAATTTACAGATATGAAGTGCGCAAAATAGTACAGGGGCCAAATTGAACACTGATATCTGCTGAGAAACACCAGTCCTTCCACTAAAAATTTTTCATCACACTATCCCATGACTCGCAACACACCCCACATATTTCAAACACAATCTATTACGAACAGCGGTTAATTATTGACTAAATAAGTAGAATGAAAACACAAACTTCTTCTTGTACTGACATAAAATACCAATTATTTGTGAAAAATAGGTCGTCGCTTTGCCCTTTCTAGGTAGCGCAAACAAACTTGAACTCTTTGACACTTTCAAGTTGTGGATGAAAATGAATCCAGCCGAAACCCGAAACGTCTAACAAGGGAAATTGTGTGG